TCCACCGGCCCTACTCCCGTCAGTAAGATTTCCTGTAGTTGGTTCTATCAGTCTTTGAAGCTTCTACTACTGCTCCTTTCTGCTGTTCTTCCAGCCGACGAACCTCCCTCTTGCCAGCCACTCGGAACATTCAAAATCACCAGACTCTATTAAGAATCAGATGGAGCACTTGATTAAATTGCTTGGATCTAATCAATTCTCTTCTGACCCATAGATCTCCCATGTTCATCAAGGTAATATTTCGATGACACTGACTGTTTTTACTTCTTCTAATCCATGAATTATTGATTTAGGTGCCACGAACTGTATGATCGGATGTTCTCAAGCCTTCTCGACATATTCTTCGTGCTCTGAGAGAGATCGTTAAAATTGTTGTCGACACCTGTAGTTCATTATGGGTGAATGGCCTGTTGTTCAAATAGCAGTCCTGACTCTAGAATTTGTTACATGTACCTTTGTTAAAGTGTAACCTCTTATCAGTCAGTAAATTGATATATGAACTAGATTGTGTCACTCATTTTTCTCCTAATGTTTATGTCTTTCAGTATCGTCGTTCGGGGACGATGATCGAAACTGCTAAACGGATAGACGAGCTCTATTTTTTTCAAGAGAAAAGCATTGTTGACGAGCTAACTCCATCCAGTAGTTGTAGTTTTTTCCAGTCTACTGAATGTTCTATCATGCTATTACACTGTCGTTTACGTCATCTCAGTTTTCAATATTTAAAACAATTGTATCCAATGATATTTACTAATAAAAAATTATCTAGTTTCAAAAATAAGATTTGTCAGTTAGCTAAATATCATCGAGTACCGTATCTACGACACTCTTACACTCTGCACCTTTTTCATAAATTCATAGTGACATGTGGGAATCCTCTCGAATGCACAGTTACACCAATAAATGGTGGTTCATTATCTTGATTGATGATTACACTTAAATGACGTGTATCTATATCTTAAAAGACAAATCTGAAGCTGCTGTCACCTTAAAAAATTTTCCTTCCTTCATTGTGACCCAATTCAAAACATCAATTCAAGTCATTCGGACTGACAAAAACCATGATTTTTTTAACTCTATAATAAGAAATTTTTTGGTAAGAACATCCTCCATTACAGTTTTTGTACGGATACTCCTCAGCAAAATGGGACAGCCGAGTCAAAAGCTGACACCTTCTTGAAGTTACCCGCTCCATTATGTTTCAATCGAATGCCCCGAAATATTTTTTGAATGATGTCGTACTTACTGCCTCATATCTCATCAATAGAAACCCCACAAAAGTTCATAATTTTTGGACCCTGTTAGCAGTCTTGAGGTTTTGTTGTCCAACCAATCAGTTCTTCTTCACTTTTGGGTGCTTGACATTTGTTCGAAATAATGCCCCACCTAATAGTAAACTTGATCCCCATTCGTGAAAATGTATCTTCCTCAGATATTCTGCAACTCAAAAATGACTATCAGTGTCTCACTCCTATCACAAATAAACTCTATGTGAGTGTCAATGTATCCTTTAAAAGTGTTCCCTACTTCCCCAACACTGTCTCAAGTGAAGGGAGACTAGATTTTTTTAGCACTACTCCTTTCCCGACTCCATTGGACATGCCACCTACTCCTCCAGCACCTGTTCCTGAGGAACTTCTGTCCCACAGATCCACCATCTACAAGACCAACATCTCCACCTACTCTCTGTGTCTATACTCGGCGCCAGCGTTTAGAAAACTGGATCGAACCAGCCAGTATTCCAGTTCGAGTTGGCTTAAGAACCGCCTCTACATTGAACTAGTTTGACTCGGCTTGGAACCAACAAAAACTAGTGAGTTTAACCCCTAAACCGAATTTTTTTTTACATTTATACCAATTTATCTAATTTACATATCTAACGCCTAAACTCTATTTTTTACATTTATACCATCCAAATCACTCATATCACATCAAAAACATTACTATTACAAAGAAATTCAATTTGCATACATGTCACCCAATTTGATTTACTCATATATCTAATACCTAAATTCTATTTTTTTTTACATTTATACCACCCAAATCATCTATATCATTTAAAATATCACTATTTTTAAAAAGTGAAATACAAGTTTTCATGCATAAATAAAATGATATCTTAAAATTGAATTTTAGGTGTTAGATATTAAATACATAGAAATTGAGTGTTATGTGAATCTTATCTATTATCATTTTTAAATATATTTATGATTTATTGAGTCCTTCGAACCTTGAACATCTCCTACCACCAGTTCAATGTCCGGTTCAGTTTTCAGAACCTTGCTCGGCGCATCAAACCCCAGTTGAGAGCCGTCCCAATACCTCTACTTTTGTGCCTGCTGCCTCTTTACAGGACTTGGAATCTGCCTAAGCTGACATCCCCAGCATTACACTTGAGGAGATTACTCCTGCTTCGAATGAGAAAGTGAGTTCTACCATTTGGATAAGCAATCAAGCTTGTTCTCCTTATTTCATGACAAAATATGTCTCATTCCATAGCTTGTTGCCAACCTACAAAGCATTTGTCACTTCCTTGACAGATCATCTCCTTTTATCCACTATTGAGGCAGCATTGGTGGACCTTTCTTGTAAGGCTGCAGTAATGAATGAGAAGAATGCCCCTCAGCGAAATCATACGTGGGATGTTGATCTTCCTTGGAGAAAGAAAGTTATTGGTTGTTTATAGATCTTCAGCACCAAATTCTGATGAAACTTTCAAACGCAACAAAGCACGGTTGGTCGTCAAAGGCTACTCACAAACCTATGGAGTTAACTATGAGGAGAAGTTTGACACCATTTGGGTCCTATTATTCCTTGCTGTAAATTTAGATTGGCTCTTACTCCAACTGAATGTCAAGAATACCTTCCTTAATGGAAACCTCACATAGGAGGTGTGCTTGTCTCTACCTCCAGGCTTTGACTCCACTTCTTTCTGGGGACAAGTGTGTCGACCGCGGAAGTCCCACTACGGAATAAAACAGCCCCCTTTAGCCTGGTTAGGCAAGTTCACGCAGATGGTAGGTGGTCATGTGTTCTTTCAGACTCAATCAAATCATATTCTCATCTTTCGACATTCTTCTAGTGGTCAAATTATCATCTTTATTGTTTATGTCGACGATATTGCACTCACAAGTAATGATCTGTCAGCTTTGGAATCTCTTAAAGGCATCATCACCGCATCCTTTGAAGTGAAATACTTGGGGTCTCTCTGATACTTCTTAGGCATGAAAGTTGTCCGATCCTATCGAGGCATTTGTCTTTCCCAGCGCAAATATATGATGAGCCTATTGACAAAGACCAACCTTCTACTTTGCAAATCAATGGTTGTTCCGATAGACCCCAATGAGAAATTGAATGATGTTTGTTGTTCCTGTGAACAAGACACACTACAAGCGCCTTGTGGAGAAATTTATTTATCTAGCCCATACGCGCCCTAATATTTGCCACACGATAGATATTGCAAGTCAGTTCGGGCAATGACCCCTATGAGCACCATCTCACAGTTGTCCATCGGATCATCTACAACTTAAAAGGCACATCGGGCTCAGATTTGTTATTCTCATGTCCCGCCTTTATACTATGCTAATTAGGCCAGGTCCATCCATGGTCGGCGATCTATCTCGAGGTATTGCTCATTTGTGTGAGGAAACTTGATCACCTAGAAAAACAAAAAACAGTCGGAGATTGCCCGAAGTAATGCAGAAGTCGAGTTTTGTTCCATTGCGGAATCTGTGAGGTGCTCTGGTTAGGGATAATGCTACATGAATTACGTATACCGGTCTCTACTCTTCTATAGTTGTTATATGATAATAAAACTGCAATTAGTTGCTCATAATCTGGTCCAGCATGATCACACCGAGCATGTAGAGATTAACCATCACTTCATCAAGAAGAAACTCGATTCCAGGGAGATTTGTATTCCATTTTTCTCATCTAGTGATCAGCTCGTAAATATTCTCACAAAGAACCTTCCTCGACCGTTGACTACTTCAAATCCAAATTGAATATAATTGACATTTATACTTCAACTTGAGTGGGAGTATTAGAAGTTATTGGAAGTTAATTTTATTTATTTTGTTACCTTCCCTGTTATTTCTTTTTAGATGTATTTCCTAGTTTATGTCTTTTCCTTATTATTTTTTTGATGCTATTAAAAAAGATTTGGGCATTATATTTTTCTTTTTCTATGCCCCTTGTATCATGATTTATACCTCTTTTGCTACTCGATTCCCAAAATTCTACAAGCATTTTAAGACTTGGAAAACCCATTGCTCTAAAAATTGGTTAGTATTTTGTTGTTCCCAACATGAAAGAACAAGATTCAACCCATATACAGTTCAAATTCACTCAAGTGAGCTAATACATTATTTTCACAATTAGCAAATTGATTACACTAATGGAATGCTCTCCTAAATACTAAAGATAACAGACAAAGAAAATAGAATTTAAGTAAGGAGATAATCCTCACTATGTATTTTATTGGGACTTCAACTTCAAATCCATCATTTTTCTTTTGCAAATGAGAAAAGAAACCAAGGGCTAAATGAACTGGTAACATTAGTTATGTTAAATGGTAAGGTAACAAAAAAATTCTCTATCACACCCTTTGCTTTATACGAAATCTTTTCATTATCAATTTTAAATAAAATAAGTTTCAATAGAAAGAGTAAATGAAATTAACAAAATAGCAGCAATGTAAGGCATATAATTAAAACTTTGGTATGGTGATCATTGACTGAATAGGATGGAATTTTAGTAGCAAGTGAAAAATATTAAGAAAAATAATTTCTCTAGAAAGAAATTATAGAAACAATAAGATCATAGTGTTATCCTTAACATAAAACTCAAGCAGTTCGGTGAGGTTGAAAGATTCAGAAAACTAGATTTAACAAAAGTTAAACAAAAATAATATCAAGTGAAGCACGGGTGAATTTACTCAATCATAGTTAGCAGGTTATTCCACAATAAATGAGATAAAAAGGGTTTTTTTGACTTATTACCACATAGAAAAATCCAGCCACTCTACATGCCTCGTCTAACTCCCTTACAACCTTACGTACTTCTTGGTCTTCAATCATTATAGGACTATCACACTTACACAAAAGGGGGCTGACATCTGAATAAAAGAGATCCAAAAGAGGTGTAAGAAGGTAAAAAAAAATGAAAATGTAAATGAAATGACTAAACTAGTACAAGTATAAATAAAAAATAAGGAGAAAAAGAATTAAAAAGATTATTAAGCCAAATAATTTGTTAAATTTTCAAAGTAACTTGAGGGAATGCATAAAAGCGTGAGAAAATAATGCATAAAGGAACTGCATGAAAATTAATTAATGTATTAATGGTTATGTATTCCATTTACTGGTAGGGAAGATCATGTAGACTTTGATGTTGAAGAGACGGAACAAATTTATAGTCAAGTGTGTTAAAAAGAATGGTCGGAGGCTATTATATGAGCTCCTAGCCACCCTCATGTGTCTTAACTATTTCAGGGCTGCCCTCACTAACTAGCCAGAGGGAGATTCAAACTCGTGATCTGAGGAGACTTGCAACCTTCAAAGAGGCTGCTCTACCAACAGGTTGTGGCTGGCGGCACACACACACACACACACACACACACACACACACACACACATATATATAATAAAAATATGAAAAATAGTTAATAGTTATAGTATGTTTCATTGCAAAACCTCAGAAACCCTAAGTTCATTCCACCAACAATAGCATCTGTTTTCAACTTCCCTTATTCATAACTGATAAATAGACTTCATTTAGATCATCAATTCAGACAACACTGAAGGTATTAAAACCCTGAATTCTCAAATTTAATAATTTACAAGGTTCTTAAACAAACTCAAACAACAAATTTAAACAGTGACAGAGAACTCTGCCGAAACCGTTAGATTAGAAACAAATTGAAGGGAAAAGAGAGCGCGGAGCACTATACCAATTATAGGAATTGCGTGGAAATCGTATCCCATGTCGGGTTGCAGGCCTTCCACGCGAGGAGGATCTCTTTGGAACCGAGAAACCACCACTGGCCGGTAGGAGAGTAAAGTGTGGGCTTTTGAGCATTATTTCATTGCATAAATTTTATTTTTTTCTTTTAGATTCGCATAATATAAATCTGGACGGTTTGTAATTTTGAAAAAAATATTGTGCACGGAGTTCAGATATAGAGCTGCGTTTGTGATACAGCGGGACGGAGCGGTAGCTCGAAACTCCATTGTATCACGTCTGGTGTCCGGACGTCGCTCGCATATAGACTCCGGACTCAATATTTTTACGTAATTTAGACAAATCCACCCAAAACTTATTTATTTTGATATTTGAAATCTAAATTTTATCTTCTAATATTTATGCCATTAAATTTTTCATTTCGCATTAACTAAAATACAGTTTATGCATGTGCTTGTTAAGAAATTTGTAGAAATCAATTTGAGGAAAACTATTATGGGTATTAATAATATTTTTGAAAAAAATCAAATAGAAAATTTTAATGCTTTTATTAAATTTTAACACTTGGGATTCTTAAATGTAAAATTCTAGAATTTTTTTTTTTTTTGAAAAATAGCAACAACAATAAAAATTGTAGCCAAACGAATGCATAGTTGAAGTATCTTAGCTCAACATATTATTACTTACTATATTTTAAATTATTAAAAATATTAATGAATATATCAATTAAAATTTATTATTTAAGTACAAATTTAAAAATTTACTCAATGTATCATCAAATAATGGCAAAAACTTATTATATGTATATATATAAGAAAGAACAACTCATAGCTCCTTACGTGTTAATATAAGATGAGGTTACAAAAAGAGGGAGGAAAAAAAAATCCTCGCTAAAATAAAAAAGAAATACATGAAGTCCTAGGGGTTTCTTTATCTGCATTACAACTCCACACAATAAAGATAAAAAAGAGAAGCAAGAAAGGAATATCATACCCAAAATTACAAGTACATATAAAGTAGAGTGTAAAATCAGTCATGAGAGCTGTAAAGCCAAAAAGACCGTCACCATAGTACTGGAGTCCAAACCGAGAGCCATAACATAGCAGCAAATCCTTTAACATCCAACACGTAATAAAAAGAGGCAAAGCCCAAATATAATAATGAAGGAAATTGGATAAGAATCCATCATCTCCTCAAATAAGGAGTATCCATAATATCACTTAATATATAACTTTTAAGGGGAAAGGGGGGGTAATGCCAACCAGGGACAAAGGGGCAAAGCCCAAATATAATAATGAAGGAAATTGCATAAGAATCCATCATCTCCTCAAATAAGGAGTATCCATAATATCACTTAATATATAACTTTTAAGGGGAAAGGGGGGGTAATGCCAACCAGGGCATCATTTAACTTTAGTTTAGAAAGCCAATTTGCAGGAGTATTTCCCTCTCTATAGGTGAAAGTGAAAAGGATTTGAAGCTAGTTGCTATGTATCTCATTATTAAAAGAACAGCATAACATTCAGCTTCAAAAGGAGTGGAGGCAATAATTGGTGAAGCGAAAAAAACTTCAAGAGGAGTGGAGGCAATAATTGGTGAAGCGAAAAAAACTTGGCAAACCCCATAACAGTCTCTAAACAATCCACCAGCACAAGCAGACATATTAGACCAACTAGCATCAATGTTGGCCTTAAATCACCCAGGTTCAGGTGGTAACCATCTGACCAAAACAGGTCTCATCCTTCCCTCAATATTAGTTGTAGTAGTAGCATTATTTATAGCTCTAACAACTTTATAATAATTTTCCATAATGAAAGAAATCGTAGTAGCAAGAGAGAGGGGGAAGAGTGATGTTTATAATCATTACGAGCAAGCCAGATGAACCAAAGAACCATTAAAGGAAAATAATTCATCTTAGGGGGAAAAGAGGAAGTACCCTGCCAAGCCGCAAAAAGTTTATTTAAACTAAATGGACTAAGCCAGCATATTCCAAGTACCACACCAACAGTACTCCAAACTTTCCTAGCAAAACAACATTCAAAAAATAAATGTTGGGCTGATTCAGAGTCTCTCTTACATATATATCAAATAGAAGCCAACTTCAGCCCCTTTAGCTTTAGGATCTCATCAAGAGGCAAGAAGGAATGAAAATATCTCCAGAGGAAAAAAAGAGGTGGAAGGAGAAATGAAAGAGTGCCATATGGATTAGCTCCATTTCCATTTGTGAAAGCAGTGAATATTTTTATATAACATTTTAGTTATAGAACCTATAGAAAGAAATTTCCACCTAGGGTTTTCTCTACCCCCATTGAAAATTGGGGTATTGGAGACAGAAGGAGCTAACTCTCCGACCAAGGATCTCAGCATATTAATATTTCAATCTCCACCATCACAAACATCAGAGACTAACAAGTTAGAAGTAGTATCAAAATGTGGAGGAGTGGTAAGGTCAGATGTACCCCACTGATCATGCCAAAAAGAGATTTTACCATCTCCAACTTCCCAAAAAATAAACTGAGTAGCAACAGTTCTAGCAAGGGTTATAGCCTTCTAAAGTTTAGAATCACTGTTTTCCAAGCCACAGTAGATGGGTGAGCAGTGTGACAATATTTATGATAAAGAAATTGTGCCCAAAGGGACTCCCCCATACGGAATTTGAACCAAAGTTTGTACATATTGATATCAACAATTTGCTGCAGAGTTTTACAGCCAAGCCCTCTAGAAGACCGAGGCATAGATACTCTAGCCCAATTAGGCCAATTTTTCCCGAACTAGACCCAAGCCAAAGAAATTTGTTAAAATAAATTTCAAGATTTTTCAAAGTGCTTTTCTTAGCGTTAATAACTTGCAAATCATAAAGAGGCAAACTGCAAAGAACACTTTTAAGCAAGGTGAGTCGTCCCCCATTAGAAAGAAAAATGTTTCTCCAATCATTAATCCTTCATTTAATTTTATGTTCCACCTTATCAAGTTGATTTTGCTTCCTCCTGCCCCTCAGAATATTCAACCCAAGATATTTAATAGGGAGATTAGCAGTTTTACAACCAGTATAATATGTGGCCCAATTTCCAATATGCTGGGGAACATGTTTGCCAAAATAAATAGAGCATTTAGATATGTTGAAAAGGAGGCCAGAGGAGTTCCGAAAATCCTCTAAAACATTCATAATGCCCTTAATGGCATTCTTACCAGCATTAGAAAATATAATAGCATCATCAACATAAGCAAGGTGACTAACCAAGATCTTCGATTTGTGAGAGTATTGTATGTGTGAGTGTTGGAGTTTTGCTCGATTAATAAGCTGAGAGAAGTAGTCAAAAGCAATAATGAACATGGTAGGAGAGAGAGGGTACCCTTGCTTAATACCTCTGAAGGGAGGAAAAAAACCATAAGTCTTACCGTTAACAAGCACACTATAGTGATTGGTCTCAAGCCACCTTTTGATGAGCATATAAAAGTCATTCTTGAACCCTTAAGCGATCAATACATTAAGAATGAAGTCCCAGCTAATAGTATCAAAATCTTGTCCCACAAGCATGAGAGGATTACAATGTCTCTCAACTTACGACGTCGATGTGCAGATTAACTTATTGCAAGAAACAGACAATGACCGATAACGATCGGCAGTGGCCGACAAAGGGTGGTCAACGGTCGGTGGTGGTCGGCGACGACAGGAGAGATGCTGAACCTCAGCTCCTTTTCAAAACTCCAAGCTCTTTCTCAAGCATCAAGTTTTATCCCTCTCTTGAGAGGGGCGGGGCTCTATTTATAGAGTCACGGTTGCAATTAATAAGGGAAAATTAATCACTTTGATCTGAAGATTCCGATAGCTTCCTCCGATTGAATGACGTTTGAAGGACATTTGAGTGCTTTAATGATGTCTGAAATGAGCGATCGTGTGCTCGTTAGATTTTTCTTGTCAAGAACGTCCATTCGACTATAAGTTCGCCAAATTTTGTATACATTTAACTTTCCAAATGATTTGGGCTCTATTTTGTTGGAATTAGACTAATTTGATATCATTGGATCCTTCTAGTCGAGTCTTTCAGTTTAACCATAAGTTTGCTGAAATCAGAGTTTTGAATGACTCTTAATCAAAGCCTAAACATTTTTTGCTCAAAAGATTGTCTCGAGATTCATGATATGCCTCGAGATTCATGCTAGATTTGAAAAAGTTTTTGTTGGCGTATCAATATATATAATTTTGTATTATCCTCAACAATAAATAGAAATTCAATCTCAATTAAATATGCTTAGCAATTTATTGTTGGAGAAAAATTTTTGACAGTTCATTTCAAAATAAAAATGATCATTGCTACTCTTATGTCTTCGTTGTATAAGTAGAATGATTCCCAACAACAACATCTACACATTGGCATTCTCTATTATTGTTGTCATATTTTTATTAGAGAATTCTCCACTTAGCAAAATAAGATGACACACCAATAAGAGTGAATAAACAAAATGTTTATCGGTGATTTTATTTGAAATGGAAAAGCTTTTATTTATTTGTTTTAATCTCATATTATAAATTTATCATTTTGATAGAGCTCTAGCTGTGTTTGATTATTATTTGATCATAATTCGAATATTGTTCAAATCATGAACAAATAAAGATTTAAACATAATTCAAACATTACTAAAACTATATATGTTCAAGTATAGTCCATGCCTTATTTTATTATACTTTAAATTTGGCTCATTCTAACAACAGTGAAGTATTGAGCTAAACAATTATTCTTCAAAGATGAATTAAGTATCAACATTGTACTATTTTATAGAATAGAATGAAAAGTTGACAGCCAAGTATGTTGGACATATATAGGAAAATAGAGGAATAATTTGATGGTTCAAAGAATTATTTTCTTAAGGATTTCATTTAAAAAGTGATGAAGATTGATGCAATTAAAGTTCGAGGTGATGTGCCACCTTGGCAAAGCAATATTTACAATTCAAAATCCTCCAATTACGCAATTAGTAGATTAAAATTTTCTTTCTTGAACGAGACATCCAACATCCCCCTACAAAGATACAAGAGCACGTAGGTGATAAAAAGTGGTATGCTTATGCAAATGAGGTGTTGCAAAATCTCCTTTAGATATGTTTGTTGCCCCTACAAAGATACAAGAGCACGTAGGTG